AAGCTTTTGTATGGATATCATTCCACTAGACGGAGATTTTGTCATAGAGGGAATGTTTTGAGTGGAAAAAGTTCGTTATTATTTTCTTCCAGAATGACCCTTCGATGTGATCATATTGATTGTGAATCTACCTCATTTCAATTTGAGTGCCTCTCTAGGGGTTCTATAAGGAACCCATTTTATTTCTTCTAGAATGTAAATTTTCAGTCAGATGCTTTCTATAAATCACCATCAAAGCAAAAGAGAGTGGAAACATTAAAGATTGCTTCTCGCAAACAGAACCAAATGTTGAAAAGAAAGACCTATCAGGTTCACAAATGAAATGGTGAATTAAGATCCAATGGATACTATTTTTTAAATAAAACAGATAGAATTTTTTTCGAAACGAAAAAAAACCTATTTTAATAACATGATTGTTTCTTCTTCCCATCACCTCCGTCGATGAGCCACCATTAAGATTCCCACTCTAGCTGATGAGCCGCCTATTAGGTCCACCGCTCTGTCGATCTACTATTGCAATTATATTATAATTATTATTTTTAACCTTGTTTTTTTTCATTCGAATTTTCTATGGCTTAAGCAAACGTCTCTTTTTATTTATTTATAATAATCCATTTTTCTGCGTTTGTTATTTTAATAGTTTGTTGATATTTTCATCACATTCAATTTTTATTCTTATGATCTGTTATTTTGATTAGGGAAAGAAATATATAATAGAAGATAGATAGAAGACGGTAAAAATTGAGGGTGAGAAGGGGGAGGAGTAAAGAGTACACAGAGGAAAAACAAATATTTGAAAAATAAAAAGTGTTGAGTTTTTTTAGTTTTACATGAGGGAGAAGATGAATGAAAAATGGGTGTATCAAGTGAAAAGGTAAACTATGGGAGAGAGATGATGAACAATGCTACTGATTTTTTTTTAAAATTTGAAATTTCAATATTAAATCTTAGCCATTAAAATTTTAATTGCCACTTGTTGCATATATGTTAAAGAACATGATAGAAACTGGAGCAGATCCTAACTCATCTCAGACTAGGTGAGTTATTTGTCTTGAAGGAGTTGCTCTTTATTGCATTTATGCTTTCTCAATCCTATTTAATGTTTTACTTCCTTTATTTCATTCAATTCGCATTTCTAAAACATTTGTCCAACTTGATTCCATTTAGCCTTAAATTGTATATTACATTGGACATTTGACTTCTGAAACATCCAAAATGGGTTAAATAGATAGTATTAAAAATCAATATTTAAAATTAAATAAGTGTAAAACATATGTCACATTAAAGAAATAAGTAGATGATTTGCACGAAACCTTAGACAAATTTATTAAGGGTAAATAAAAGTTAGACTTAATTTTTTCTAATCAAAGAGTTTCATATAATAAAAATGGGTTAAATTATAAACCTAATAAATCATATAAGCGCTTGTAGCTCAGTGGATAAAGCGTCTGTTTCCTAAGTAGAAAGTCGTAGGTTCGACCCCTACCTGACGTTAATCATGACTTTCTGTTGTCATATTTTGTGGATAAATGTTTGATTACTTTCTCTTTTTAAGCATTAGATTGTTGGAAGTGTTGAATATTGTAATATTTAGAGAGCAAAATCACAACAAAGTCTTATTATACCAAATAATGGTATATACCGATCAAGTGATGTTATAATAGCATGTAATATATCATATCCTATAAAATATATCATTGATTGTACCTTAGAAGTTTCATTATTTTCTCTATAGCTTCAAAAGAAGAAATTTATATAAAAATGGACATTAGTTTATCTTTTGTATCACATCATTATGTTAAAGATAAAACCTAAAGTTTGATTAAAGAATTTTTTGGTGATTAAATATTAATAAAAATCAATGTATACATTAACAAAGAGAGGAATGCTAGCAATAAACTCTACAACCACATTTTCCAAAATCTTATTATAATCAAAATTTTATGGGAGTCACTTTCTATTTGGTATGATTCATTCCATAACTATTGACACCCATTTCACTTTATCATTGAAACTTGTTATGAAAGTCATGTCTGGTGTCTTACATGTGTTAGTGTTAAACACAAACAAGACACCAATAAATACTTCAATTAGTTCATATTTACAAAATTTAAATTATTTCAATATTTCAATATTGCATATATTAATTTTCTTGACAATGAATTATGTGTGTGCCTTTCAACAAATCACAACATTGGATTTAATTTCATTCAAATGATATATGCTTCTTATGTACTTTCCCTTTTCATATTCGTTGCAACTTTATGCTTTCAAAAACGCAATAGACAATAATTATGTTAATTTTGTATATATATTTTGAATAAGGGGCTCTGATTTAAAAATCAAGATATCATAATAGTCCATGTAACACATGGATTGAAATACTCACGAAAGCAGCAAATAACAGGAGAAAAAATATTTATCTACATTTCTAATTTCCACTTTATTCAGATTTTGCTTTAAAGAAAATCAGAGATTGATAAATGTGTAATTTACATATTTATCGCTAGTATACTCTCATACTTATTAGCTACTAAAATAATACAAAAAATCTCTAACTTATGTTGATTTGAAAAATTGTCCTGGAAATATACATTGATCGTGTTTTATTACCTTTTCACAATTTTAAGTAAAAAAAAGTGAAAAACAATGACAAAAAGATTAACTATCAAGCCAGAAAAGGACTCTGGTCCAAAGACTCAAAAGCTAAAACAAAACCTAATTTTATGGACAAAATATATCACAAGCACTGAATCTGAGGCGTCGAAGAATGCCTGGAGACAAAGACAAGTATACCCCATATTAAAAAAATTTATGAGATATTTAGAACTATTTCTGATAGGCAAGACTAAAAATTTGTATCTAGATCAGACTACACCAACTTAAATGTACTAAAGGAGGCTACAAGAAAATTTGTATGGACACTACAAGAAAATTTGCAAATTGCGACGATTCATTTTGATAGATTATGACGGTTCTAACCGTCGCAATTTGTAAGTTACGACGGTTTCAATCCCGTCGCAGAAACGTGCGTCGTGAGGCCGTATTGTGACGGTTGTGAAAACTATCATACAAACCGTCGTTATTTTCACGACGGATAGGTACCTGTCGCAATCTCCATATTGTGACGGTTTTCAACCGTCATAACTTGCTTAATGATTTTTGTTTTAATTGTTGCTTGTGAAAGTATATTGTGGCTGTTTGAACCGCTAGAATTTTCAAATATTTAAAAAAAAACATGATATATTAAGGCGGTTTGAACCGCCGCAAGTTGCAAATATTTTTTTTAAAAAAAAATTTGCACTTGTTTAGGATTCATAATACAACTATTGAAGGTTACATTAATGGCAATCATCAATATTCATGATATTCACATAATAAACACTAAAATAAAAAAGTTTTCAATCATTAACCTTGCGTTCTCTAATTTTTTAACCACATCACACATAGCATGTATACAATATCCAATCGCATACGCAACAATTCAAAATATTGCACAACAGCTATAATTCGCATCACGCGCAAAGTGCCCAGGCAGTTGCTTTAAGATGTGATAATGTCTCTTTCGCCGCTCCACATCAACGAAACTCACATTAGAAGCTTCAGTTGCAACATTCCAAAGCAGCCCTCATTACTGAGACATTTCCAATGCATTCAAAACTATAATCAACTCCACCATCTGTGAGACCAACTATAACCTGCTGAATTGGGTTCTCATGTTCTTTTGGATTAATAAACTCAATCACTCTAAAGCTCTTCGCTGCAAAGTATATAAAAAAATTAAGGTACTAAATATTAATAATTCTGAGGTGGAAATCCAGCAGCTGTAACAGAGTCGCCATCCAATCTTGAAATGAACGCATGCTGCCTGTTCAACAAAAAAATGTTTATTTTATAAGTTCTGAGCATGAAAGATTGTTCCCTAGAATTAACAGACTGGAAAAAAAATGATTGTGGATGTGAAAAGCATAAATTTTGTGCATTTTATTGCAATCTTCCTAGAAGTGTTTCTAAATTTCAAGTTTCCTTAACCTAAAGTATGGTCTAGCTACCTACAGCAAAGCAATTTAAGTAGTAAGTGTCTCAATTAAAAAGAAATTGAGCAAATTAGAAAAATACCTCAGTGTCTCCAAGTTAAATACATATATATCCCCAAGGAATTCACGGCAGCCAACCATTGTCTATCAGAACTAGTACACAACTTTGTGATGGGTGGTTCAGTTGTTGATAATCCATCATTTTCATCTTGTGATTCACGAAATGGTGTAAAAGTATGTACCAGTTCTAAGCTATTGGCATCCACAAACTTACAACAATCAAAATAAAATGGGATTAATGAAACAAAGAAAAGAGATGCTTAATTCAAATATCACAGAACTTGAAAGTTTGCACTAACACGTTCATTTCAGAAAGAAGCATCCACACTATTCATAATCCAAAAAATTACTATAACATACATTTAGAGATGAAGAATATTGCAAACTTACATATATCCTTCTATCAAGGCCAGCTACTATCAACCAAGAAGAGTCATGAGAAAAAATCATTAAATGGACAGTTGGTAATCTCTCGGGAAACTTCCTTTTACCAAAACTCCATGTAATTTTTCCTGCTTTAGATCTCTCCACTTTATAAAGAATAGGCTTTTCATTATCGGAATACGCAAAAACACCCCTGTATTAGCAAGGGCACTACAAATTATTTTACGAGATGCCTTTATCTTGAATCAGCCAACACTTTCAGCCTTTGCATAGTCTCCGGTTCTGCGAACACTTTTGAGATGTAGCAAACGGACTTCTATCCAATGTGAAGACTGCAGTAAAATCATTGGTGATTGATTGAAGGAAGTATTAAGTTTTACGTGTAAGGGTGTTCTCTGAGGCACAGGACAGATACAATGAGGTTTAAACCCGGTGAATTCTTTAACAGCGTATGCATAGAGTTTTGTGTCATCCCCTGATGAGATAAGCATTGGCTGCCCTGAATGAGCCCATTTATGGTTAACTAGAATCGTCTGGCTTTAATTCAAGACGAGTTCTTTTGATCCTTTCATCAGGCAAAGTATCTGCCAAACAGAAATCCAGGTTTATGGAACAGAAATGATAAAATGTAAAATACAAAAGTCTGTTTCAATGAGCTTCTCAGTAGAAAAGAAATTGTTGTTTTTTACATTGAAAATAACTCTCAGTTAAGCTAAAAGTTTGATTTCTGATTCTCAGAAAAAAGCATCAAAATACACTTTTCAACTTTCTCTAAAATACTTTCTATAACACATAGGACATACAAATTTTGCAAACAAGACCATCCAAGCACATATTCGTTAATACCACTTTCAGAGTGGAGCATAAAAATAATAAAACAATAAACTTTCACAGACCTTCTTGGCTAATTGGCACAGCAATAGTCAAGGCTCGGACATCATGTGAATGACCTTTTTTATAGTCAACATATACCCAATTCTCTTTCTCCATGGTTGATGAAGACAGTTTATAAAGAACAACCTTCCAATAAAAAGTGAAACAAACATTTTATCATTCCCTCAATGACAAAGAATTGTGTAACATTTAATCTTAATTAAAATGAGCAAAACAAAGGCCAGAAACAACAGTTTAATGAAAATATAACAACATTAAAATATGTTGACTTAGAGATAACACATAATTGCATTTCTCTTAAGAGAACATAATTGCAGAAAGCAAGATCAGTTCAAGATACGGAGACACAATTACATTTCAAGAAAAGAGAAGAGAGGGTGTCTGCTCTGTAGTTAATAATGAATGTAGTGGCGGCAACAACACCATAGAATGGCCGACAGCCACTAGGCACTACTAGTACAGCTGTTGCATCGCAATTTCAGGCAGCGGTTGTAGCTCACATCATCCGGCCAAATCACAGAAAAATATAAGTTGTATAGGCCGGTATGGTGAAGCTTGCAAAAAACCAAGCATACCACTAATTATTAAGCAATAGCCCGCAACCCTTTGTAAGGTTCAAGCAGTTCCATAGTTCTCATGCTAAGCTTCTCTCTCCACTGCATCTTCCTTCTACCTAACTCTTGGATTCCCGCATGACATATCAGTTTTAAATAACTGAGACATCAGTTGGACTTAGATAGCTTAATTTCAGGTACCTTGTCCATGTTGTCGATATGTTTTATCTTTTTTTTTGGTTTTGTTGGTCCTCACAATCTAAATAATAATCTCTCAGAATAACATTAAATCATTAATAAAACAAAGACATTAAAAATAGTATGATAAAAATAAAATAAAACAATTATAGTATGCAATATAATATACTAATTCAAAATAAAGATAATGATATTTAGAAAATAATAACTTAAAAAGTAAAACAAACATAACATAAAATAAAAAAATAAGTAATAAATTAGAAACTGAAATATAAGATAACAGGTCTTATCCTCAGACAGCTCATCAGTTTCACTACGTGGATTAAAATAGAAGAAAAAAAATCAACAGGTCGTTCACTTTCTTTTGGAGTTAAAAAGATTAATTACCATGGTTCATAACAATTGACAGGTTTTGGAACTACATACCTTTCCATCAGAACCGGCAGAGAACACCATATTGTGATTAAGGGCTGCTGCCAAAGCATGTACATATCCCTTGTGACGAGTAATAGGTTCTTGAGACGAAGCTCCTTTCTGGCAGTCCCAAAACTGGACGCTCCCACTGCTGTCTCCACTAACAAGTGTCCCAGACCTAAATAATAACTAAATCAGCAACACAGGTGGGAAACATGCAGTGGTAGTCCAATACTAAAATCAAAGCAATAGAGTAAATATGAATTATAGAAAAATGCACATCTTAAGCAGTTGAACAAAAATATGTGGTTGTTGTCACCTCAAATACAGTAGTGACCATATACAAAGTTCATGTCCACTGTCACCACCGAGTCTAGCTTGAATCCTATGGGCTTCAAGACCTGATTTGGCATTCCAGATACATATTATCCTATATGATTAGACAGAAAAATGTGTTAACTAAACCATGTCCAAAAAAAAAACAAATTCTGCAGCTGAATATTCTTAATTTGTATTCAACATTATGAGAAGAAACATGTGATCATATTTACCTAAGTCATATCAATTTTTATTTTTTTTTATAAAGAAAAGTGGATTATGATGCTGCAGGATATGCTAACCTTTTTATGAATTAAACATGCAACTTGGGTTCAAGTGAAATAAAATTTTGAGTGGTGCACAATCGAAGTCACACAATGATCTATATGACAATACCAAACACAACAGTAATACATACCCATCACTACTCCCTGAAAATATGAATTTAGCATCGACGCTCAAAGCCACACTTAAAACTCGTCCTGAAAATAATGAAACAATATCATAAATCATCCTCTAATGGGATTAAAGAATATCATTTAAAAAAATTATAAAAATTATTTTTAAAAAAAGACAGAAAATCTAACCTGATACCCGGGTCAAGGATTTTAAGTATATAAATTCATTTGAATCAGATATAGTGTAAATTCTAACACATCCATCATCAAAACCAATTGCTACTCTTGGACCCTCTAAAATGGATTGCTTTAGAACCTCAGGTGAATCATAATCTTCATCACTTTCACTGTCCTCATGTTCATCAAAACCATTAAGAAATCTCTTTGAAAAACCATTTTCAATATGAACACCATTGGTTTTGCCATCATCACCTTTGGACATAGCCACAACCATTTTCTAGATTCAGACACCATTATATTCAAGCACCATCTGTGACAGTGCCATGTCATTCCAACGAGAGTCAAATAAAATGAAATAACCGCTTTGTTAAAAACATAACAGTCTCTCACTTTTCCAGACAAACCTAACTATATACCTAACATCTAGTAACTAGTAAGCTTCAAGAGATTAAAGAAAACTTCCACTTCCAAATAGGACCTAATTATTTAGGCTTGTTTGAGCTTATTTAAAAGACATCCAACTAATGACATGCCCATGAACTGTTTTCACATTAATTTCATATGTTCTGCAATATAGCATATGCAAACAACTAAAAACTTTGTATGAGAACAATATTTTCCATTTCGTCAGCTTATACATAAGCACTTAATTAACTTATTTATCCAAATAGCCCTAAATAGCTAACAATTGTCACTAGATTAGAACTTGCTCCAATGGTAAATAACCCTCTATTCAAAACCCTCTAAAGTTAAAAATCTTCAGTCTCATCACTCAAATAGACATCACTCAATTCATTTCAAGTATATAAAAGAAGCACAATCAGTCTCATCGCTAAACACATACCAGAATCTGTAGTAAAATGCTAGCCGAAAACATAAAAGCCAACCCAACAAGGCTACACGTCCAAAAAGAAACAAAAAGGTTAAAGGTTAATTAGCCTTAATCTGCTAGATAATCGCGATCATAAAACAAAGCTCAAAGTTTAGTTTCCAACTTACACTGTAAAGACATGAACAACCCCAGAACACCAATTTGCAACATTAGATACAAAACAAAATCAGTAAAATAATTAAAAAGGTATATACATTGAAGAAAAAGCTTAAAAGAAAAATTGCAAACTAAAAGCACACGTAAATCCTTAATATAATACATAGATAGTAAATTTGGTCACAGCAGTATAATTTTGAATTATACAAATGAAAACCCTAAGTTCATTTTTGGGGAAATTGCTTTAATCCTAAGTTCAGTTCTACAAAACCCTACCAGTTTCCCACCAGAATTTAAAGAAAACCCTATGAATTAAGATTTGTTTGAAATAGAAAGTATGAACCGTGCACTGTCATCTCCATGGGAGTTATCGCTCTCTTCGCTTTCCAATTGCAAGCGACGGAACTGCATTGGCAATTGCTCCAATTTCAAAAAATTTATTCCTTTTATTAATTTTATTGGATTAAAAATATATAAGATTATATTTTTTAATTTCACAAAAAAAAAAAATATATATATATATATATATATATATTAAGTAAAACTAATATTTTCTTTAATAAATTTAGATTAATTATTAAAATTTAATTTAAAATTAAAAAATTTCACAATTCACATTAAAAATAATTAATAAAATAGAACAAATAGAGATTAAAAATATCATTCTAATTTTATAACAAGTATAAATATATTAACATTGTTACCAAAATTAATTTTAATAAAATTTAACTATTTATATAATAAAACAGAAAATATTTTACTATTATTTTATACAAATTATAATAATTATTTATTAAATTAATTAATAAAATTGAAAAGGTTAGAAAATAAATATGAAAGAAAAAAGTGGAAAATTAAAGGAATAAAAAAAAACAGTGATTATGATTGGCTAAAGTAATTGCGACAGTTCGCCTTAACTGTCGCGAGTGTGGAAAGAGGGTGGTTCTTTGGTAACTGTCACATTATTTTATACAACATGCCTAAAAAATTTGCGACGGTTGGCTCAAACCGTCGTGAGAACTGTCGTAGTCCAATAATAAGGACAGTTTTTTGATAACTGTCGCAAAAATTCTACGACAGTTGACCCTAACTGTCTTGACAATCATCGCAATCTAGGAATAAGGACGACTTTTTGATAACTGTGGCAACTCAAGTGTCGTAAATCTCCTTTTTCCTTGTAGTGGGATATCATTCCACTAGACGAAGATTTTGTCATAGAGGGAATGTTTTGAGTGGAAAAATGCCATTATTATTTTCTTCCAAAATGACCCTTCAATGTGATCATATTGATTGTGAATCTATCTCATTTGAATTTGAGTTCCTCTCTAGGGTTTCAACAAAGAACCTATTTTATTTCTTCTAGAATGTAAATTTTCAGTCAGAGGCTTTCTATAATTCACCATCCAAGCAAAAGAGAATGGAAATTTTAAAGATTGTTTCTCGCAAAAACAACCAAATGGTTAAAAGAAAGACCTATCAGGTTCACAAATAAAATGGTGAATTAAGATCCAATGGATAATATTTTTTAAATAAAACAGATAGAATTTTTTTTGAAATGAAAAAAACCTATTTTAATAACATGATTGTTTCTTCTTCCCATCACCTCCGCCAATGAGCCACCATTAAGATTCCCGCTCTAGCCGATGAGCCACCTATTAGGTCCACCGCTCTGTCGATCTACTATTGCAATTATATTATAATCATTATTTTTAACCTTGTTTTTTTTTCATTCGAATTTGCTATGGCTTAAGCAAACGACTTTTTTTTTAATCACAATCCATTTTTCTGCGTTTGTTATTTTAATAGTTTGTTGATATTTTCATCACATTCAATTTTTATTCTTATGATTTGTTATTTTGATTAGGGAAAGAAACATATAATAGAAGATAGATAGAAGACAGTAAAAATTGTGGGTGAGAAGGGGGAGGAGCAAAGAGTACACAGAGGAAAAACAAATATTCGAAAAATAAAAAGTGTTGAGTTTTATTAGTTTTACATGAGGGAGAAGATGAATGAAAAATGGGTGTATCAAGTGAAAAGGTAAACTATGGGAGAGAGATGATGAACAATACGACTGATTTTTTTTGTAAATCTGAAATTTCAATATTAAATCTTAGCCATTAAAATTTTATTTGCCACTTGTTGCATATATGTTAAAGAACATGATAGAAACTGGACGATAAAAACTGGAGCAGATCCTAACTCATCTCAGACTAGGTGAATTATTTGTCTTGAAGGAGTTGCTCTTTGTTGCACTTATGCTTTCTCAATCCAATTTAATGTTCTACTTCCTTTATTTCATTCAATTCGCATTTCTAAAATATTTGTCCAACTTGATTCCATTTAGCCTTAAATTATATATTACATTGCACATTTGACTTCTGAAACATCCAAAATAGGTTAAATAGATAGTATTAAAAATCAATATTTAAAATTAAATAAGTGTAAAACATATGTCTCATTAAAGAAATAAGTAGATGATTTGCACGAAACCTTAGACAAATTTATTAAGGGTAAATAAAAGTTAGACTTAAAATTTTCTAATCAAAGAGTTTCATATAATAAAAATAGGTTAAATTATAAACCCTAATATAATCAAAGATTCTATGGGAGTCACTTTCTATTTGGTATGATTCATTCCATAACTATTGACACCCATTTCACTTTATCATTGAAACTTGTTATGAAAGTCATGTCTGGTGTCTTACATGTGTTAATGTTAAACACAAACAAGACACCAATAATTACTTCAATTAGTTCATATTTACAAAATTTAATTTATTTCAACATTTCAATATTGCATTTATTAATTTTCTTGACAATGAATTATGTGTGTGCCTTTCAACAAATCACAACATTGGATTTAATTTCATTCAAATGATATATGCTTCTTATGTACTTTCCCTTTTCATATACGTTGCAACTTTATATTTTTAAAAACGTAATAGACAATAATTATGTTAATTTTGTATATATATTGTGAATAAGGGGCTCTGATTTAAAAATCAAAATATCATAATAGTCCATGTAACACATGGATTGAAATACTCAAGAAATCAGCAAATAACAGGAGAAAAAATATTTATCTACATTTCTAATTTCCACTTTATTCAGATTTTGGTTTAAATAAAACCAGAGATTGATAAGTGCGTAATTTACATATTTATCGCTATTATACTCTCATACTTATTAGCTACTAAAATAATGCAGAAAATCTCTAACTTATTTTGATTTGAAAAATTGTCCTGGAAATATACATTGATCGTGTTTTATTACCTTTTGACAATTTTAAGTAAATAAAAAGTGAAAAACAATGACAAAAAGATTAATTGTCAAGCCAGAAAAGGACTATGGTCCAAAGACTCAAAAGCTAAAACAAAACTTAATTTGATGGACAAGATATATCACAAGCACTGAATCTGAGGCGTCGAAGAATGCTTGGAATCAAAGACAAGTATACCCCATATTAAAAAAATTTATGAGATATTAAGAACTATTTCCGATAGGCAAGACTAAAGATTTGTATCTAGATCAGACTACACCAACTTAAATGTACTAAAGGAGGCATTCCTAATTTAGAAATTACACGGGAGTTCTTCCTATTCTAGAAATTGTCTTGGTCTTGCATTCTCAAAGGTGTCTTATCCATCCTCTCCATTGAGATGACATAATATTGCTCATTCTAAATAGGGAAGTCACTCTGAAAAGGACAAAATATGGTGTTTAGTTCTTTGTTCTGTATATGGTTGAAACACTTACGGGAAAGTGTTCCCAAGATGTACAAAGTTATCATTCGACACAAGCTTTTGTATGGATATCATTCCACTAGATGAAGATTTTGTCATAGAGGGAATGTTTTGAGTGGAAAAAGTTCGTTATTATTTGCTTCCAGAATGACCCTTCGATGTGATCATATTGATTGTGAATCTACCTCATTTGGATTTGAGTGCCTCACTAGGGGTTCTTTAAAGAACCCATTTTATTTCTTCTAGAATGTAAATTTTCAGTCAAAGACTTTCTATAATTCCCCATCAAAGCAAAAGAGAGTGGAAACATTAAAGATGGCTTCTCGCAAACAGAACCAAATAGTTAGAAGAAAGACCTATTAGGTTCACAAATAAAATGGTGAATTAAGATCCAATGGATAATTATGATGAAGGATTTAAAGCCTTAAGTCTCTAGTTTGGTAGGGGTTACTTGAAAACACTTTGTTACCTTAGTTAGTGAGGGCCAAAAGTGAGAGATTAAAAGGGCTATACTAGTGTCTACCTTAATGTGATATATTC